GCGTTTGGTCCGACTAGTGTTTCCGCCTTCCGCCGGGCCGTGTCTGGAGTAGAGACAATAGACGACCGGACCTGGCTAAACCAGAGAGGTCAGTAGCTGCCAAAAATCCCAGGTTGGGGGAAAAAAAAAAAAAATCCGAGGTCGAATCTCTGTACCTGCTTTTCAAAGCTGCAGAGTAGGATAGTCACTAAGCAAGAACCAAGGAGAGGCAGGAAGAAAAGACTTGGCGAGTCTGATGATGATCATCAATGATATTCATGCTCTCGCTTCCAGACCACAACGGACCCTGGGTCCGACTATTTCAGTACTAGGTGACGCAGACTCTCACAAACGCTGCTTGAATAGTGGTACAATCGCGGAGAGCATAAAGGAAAAAAGGCATAAACCGAGTTTCCCGACATCTCCACCCTTTTCTTCCCATGAAGAAGGACAGCCACTTTGAGAGCTTTTAGTTATTAAGACACATTTAAAACGTGGTGGGTGGATACGCGACGGGATTTTGGCGGGAACCACACATGGTTGAATCAAAGACGGATATTATTGCGTGCATGGAGGCGAGCCTCAGGATAGGCTCGCTGTCCTGGCTTGCCTGGCTCTCCCCACTTACCTTTCTTGGACAGACTTGGTAGATATTTGGGGGACCAAGGGGTGTTGAGATGCTGAAGAGGTGTCTCGAGGGCGTGCACATGAGAGAGACGGCCGGACATATCGATCAAGTCGACACCCATTTCTTATCCGTTCCTGAAGCTGCTGCACGTACGAGTCGTGTTTTGTGCCGTTCATGACAAATGCCTCATGCCTCATGGGGGCATGCTCGCCCACAAAGTACTGGCAGCGATGAGGGAACCTGGCGAGATATTCATGATAGGCTTCTGCCAGGCTACCAGGGCATGAATCCGTTAGGTTATGACTAGAAGTGGCGTGTATCTGATTCAGGACTGGCTGGTGTTGACTTGCGCATCTTCTTCATCCACCCCAAGTTCTCCAAATATCCCCTTGATTAGATTCCCCTACTCTTGCCGTCGCGTCCACAGCTCTTGGTAGACAGGGGTACCCTTACTTCTTGCATCGGGGCCAAGTAGTGTGGGCAAAAAAGAGGAAAAAGAAAATAAAAAAGGAATAATTTCTAGGATTCCATGTTTGTGATGAGAGTCTCTATTTTGCAGCTGTGTGATGGGAACTTTGATGTCTAGTGGATGACAGTAAGACAACGCATACCCGAGATCCTGGCGCATGAGACAGGGCTGAGCGTGAGATTCAAAAACAAAGAGTATGCTCCCTTTTGGCTCCTTTCGTGATAATCCCCCCCTTTTCTCCCCCCAGCCTGCCGTGCGGATTCGTCGGGAAAGGAGGAGGGTGCTGTCCTGATGTAATGGTTGCAACACTGAAGCATGCCGGTAGGGTTATTTATGGAGATCCTTAATATCTCACCTGCCTGGATGGCTGCTGGATCCCCCCCCTCCTGCACCGAGAGCAATGACCACATGGCACCAGTTAAGAGCTGTAGGTGCGACAGTTGGAGGATGTTGCAGATGCACTGCAACTGCAAGTTCGCCTTTGTTCTGCACAGCGGCAGATTGTGACCCCGAGGGGCGGAGGAACTGGGAGAAGCGCTCCCCACCATCCATCGCTCGTCTACGAAGTAATAGACCCCCACCGAGGAGAAGCTCAAGGTTTCTCGATATCGGTGGATAAACAAATGGTGTGGAAGCTGCCATACGCGAGCGGCTTCATTGGCTCAAAGTGCAACGCGGCAGTCCGAATGGGGATAAGGGAGGGGAGGAATATTACTTTCTGGTACTGTCCAGATATGAGGCGATGAGGGTGTGGAGCATCAGTGAATGCAACGAATTTTTGCTTGAATGTAAGGTACTGGCAGTACTGACATCGTCAAGGTTGCTTTTTGTCGGAGGCGATGCAATCTTACTTTGACCATGTGAGGGCGTCAAACACGTAGAATGGTGGTTGTCAAAATTACGTTCTGGCTGTTCTCATGGCTGTCCGCAACTTCTTTCTGTAACTCGGGATTGGCTGTACGAAGGACTGTAGTCTCTGAGTCGGGGATGGTGCCGCTTTGGGGGCTGGTGGTAGGTAGGCTTTGATGTTGATTTAGGCTCAATAAGGACTGATTGTTGTGCGGGAACTGGGAGCATTGACCAGGAGAGAGTCAAACCTAAGTGCCATACGAAGTAATACTGACGTTTGTCTGATCTTGGAGGACCCCTTGGCCGATATCCAGTTGGACTGGACTTTATCAAGCTCCCCCAATGTACAAAGCTAGAATCGACTTGAGGGGTCTTGGAGAAAAAGTCACGGTTGCAAAATACAGTTGCAGATTGGTAATTACCCTTCATACATACCAAGGGCCTGTACTTTGTACAATTGCAAACTACAAATTACGCACTTCGTCGAAGCAACACTCTCGACCTGGAATCATCCTCTGTGGCACGTGTTCCGTAGTATCGCAGTGGATCCGCATCCCCGCCAGGTCAAATTTGATGCTGCGTGCGAACCACACTAAGAAAGAATCCACCACTTCGAGATTGAATCAGGCTACCCCGCTCTTTCCTTCTGTGCATGGTTAAGAGCTCGGCTAGGTTTTAAGAAAGCAATTTGCAAGGGAAAGAAAGAGGGGGCGGACCTGGAACACATTAGGATCGAGTCAGTGAAGGTGAAGCGGATAGGAACATTTGAGACGGTGAGGATTTCCTGCCATCAATCGTCCCTTCCCCCACAGGGCAAGTCCAACATCTGTCAATCTCAAGTGTTCTGCCCGCTGATTCCTCCTCCATAGTGTGCTTCGTACTGCGGAGAATACTGGCGGGTGAGCACGGGCCAGGCAGGCCAGCAAAGACACCGATCACCGACACTTCAGCCACTTTGAGGTAGTTCGGGGGTCCTGTCCAAAACAGCCAGAGCCCATCTCGACCTAGCCATGGGTTCGTCGGAGACCCACTCACACTTATCCGCAACCCTGCTCGGGAACAAGGCTTGGCATGGCCAGGAACGTCTGCCACAACGAGCAGTGTAATCTACTTCGTACTTCGCAGCTTCCCTGACCGGCTGATCCCACCAGCAGGAGCTCCGCAGTACTTCGTACGGAGTTTGAAGCGGGATGGGTAGACTGACAAGCCAAACCCTGCACCGCTCCTTCTGCGGTACCTGCTCGGGGCGATCAGAAGATTGAGTTGCTGTGGGTGGTTCTTGACGTTCTTGACCTGAGCGTACTTTTATCAAATCCGTTGCTTCATCCGTCAGGAACATCAATTGATCTGTTACTTCTTAAGACGGGGATTAATGACATATACACCCGACCCTATCTACGTATTTGCGTAATATCAATTCCACACACACACCCACACCCTCAATACTTCGTAAACACCCATGCGCTCCATGATGGATGCTCAATGGCCCCTTGTCCCTTGCTGTTTGGGGGTTTACGCTACCAACTCCGGCCTGGCGCACGGTCTCGTCTATCAGCTTGGCTGGTCTTGAGGTCGGCTATTACTTGACACACACACGAGGTGCGCGGTTCAAGACCAAGTCCGAAGTACATGATTTGATCCCTTCCCTTCATTCCGACTGGAATTCACACATGTACTTTACGAAGGACTGTTGGCTTCTAACGAATACAGCAACTGCCACTCTACAAGTACGTACATCAGTACTTCGTAGCAATCGTCAGGTACCCATGCACGCACTTCCGCATACCCATGTACTTCGTACTTGTACAATGCCAGCACTAGTACAGGCTCTTCTGCTACCGTTTCCTCGACCGCTCTTGTCTCTTCCTACAAGCCCACTCCACGATGCTTCGCTCCTCACCCAAGCTGGCTACTGCAGCATGCCACTTTTCCAAATAGTCCGTGAGTACGCGAGGACATGGGGCAGTTCCCGAGGTACATCCCTTGCGACGATGGACTATCAAGATGTGCGTTGGGAATCTCCACCCATCCGGCGAGCGGCTTTTGTTGTACTTCGTACTTATAGCGGGGCGTGGTCTACCTTCCTGCATGACCACTTACATCAATGGTGCAGCAGTGCTTCTCTGTTCCTGTTCCTGTCCCTGGACTTACTCGTACGAAGTATACACAGGGTACAAAGCAGTAGTATCTGCTGGGACATGACAACGTTGGGCTGGCCAGACCGTTTGGCTCTCCGCTCTCCGCTCTGCACCCTCACCTCGGACCCAGGTGGCTGCTGTCGATCCATGATCTCTGTGTTACTCGGTTCATGTCTCGACCCGTGCTTGATGCTTGACTCCTCCACACTTATATCTGCCGCTATCCCAATCGGAACATTGCAACATTGAAGCTATACATCCTATATATATACACAGCTCCATATTGCCTTCCCATCCTCTTCTCTCTTTTCCCCCCACTGCGTCCCTGTGTATGGGCCTGGTCAGGTCTTTCTTGACCTTCTTCTTTTAACCCTTTGCCCATCCCGAAGACTGCTTTCTTCCCGTCTGGCGTCCCTCGCTACGCTTTTCTTTATCCTTTTCCTTCCACACCCTCGCCTTCGCCTGCCATTCATCAACCACAACGGCTTCTTTGTCCACCCGGGTAGCCGAATTGCTTTGGGCCGGTCCAAGGCTTGGGAATTCCATTTATTCGATCTTAGCCACAATCACCCGTTCTCTCCGCGCCTTTGCTATTTCTGGCTCCGAGACTCGATTTCCCTTGTTCAACGTCTTTGTCGCCTTTTTGTGTAAGTCCATATCCCAAAAGGCTCCATTCCATAAGCGCCGGTTTTGGAGGAGCTTTCTTTCTTGGTTCTACTCCCTTCCCTCGAGCACTTTTTTTCCCCTCTTTTTCACCCTGCTGCCCTACTCTACTGGTTGCTTGCCTGTGAACTCGAGCTGCGTGTTTCACTGCTCGAGCCTGTATCCGATGGCCATCGACGTGTGACCCGGGGTTATTTCTTAACCATACCCTTTCCCCCCTTCGACTGCCCTGCACACACCTCGCATCAACACCTCTCGCACGGATAAGTGGAAAATGACAAACACGACGTTGGGTAGGCTGCTCTTGACAGCAGTGGGCTTATTAGGTCAGTTGCCCTGTCGGCCTTGGCTGGATTTGTGGAGTCTGGGGAGTTATGAGGAATCTTGGGTGGTGTCTTCTGAGCACAAGTTCGAGATGAGACACCAGACATCCCGCCAACCACTAGTGAAGAGGGGAAGCTCCCGACCGATCACTTATGAGGGCACAGATTGCGAACATTTAATACAAACGGCTATGCGGGATCCGGATTTGACCTTTCTACCATTTTTGTCTCAAGCCTTCTCGTTATCCTCGCAAGAGCTCAACTGACTAAATCCTCTCATTTATAGTTGTTTTAGCTCCTGCAAACGCTCAGACCGGACGCCCCGAACGCCCCGGGCGACCAGTTGACTTCCCACAACCCCAGGACCCGTCAGCATCGCCGACTCCGCCATCTCCTCCGGTCTGGATACCAACCCCAGTGCCCCCTTCCCAGCCCGAGCCCGAGCCCGCCCCTTCTCCATCGGTGCCAAGCCCATCACCGCAGAACCCGAACCCCCCTCCGGTGCCGGAACCTGCCCCGCAGCCACAGCAACCAGGAGGAAGCAGCGGTCCCAGCCAGCCGGTGGATCAACCCCCTCCAGTTACGAACGACCCTAGCACGGGCGATGGCAAGGTGAACGGCCAGGCGTCAGGTCCGAGTGCTGGCAACAAACCGAACGACCCTTCAACCGTGCCCGGAAGCACGTCTACCTTCGGGAACAAGACTCCTAGCAGTACTGGAAACCCTCTTGACAAGCCGAACAATACCGGGAATAACGGTAACAGCAACGGCAACGGCAACGGAAACCCCAACAGTGACGGAGGTGAAGACGACGACGACATGAATAACAGCAACCCCAATACGCCCAACAGCGGAAACGCCAGCTCCGGGCTTTCCAACAACCGAACCTTGATTATTACGCTTAGTATTGTTCTATCAGTTGTGGCTTTCTTAATCGTCTTGGCAACGATACTCGTGTGTTATCGAATCAAGAAGGGTAGGCTACCGTTCATCGCGCGAGGGATTTCGCCCATCGGCGACGAAGAGATCGAATCATGGAAGCGAAGTGCAGCCCACGAAAAGTACACGAGCGCCCCCACGACGGCAGGGACACGCCCTCCTTCATCGACGGTATCGACTAGGAAGCCCCCAAGCGTCATTGTCTATCAGAACGCAGCGTCTACAGCAGGCGCTCCTGAGCTCTCCCCGAAATCTATTCATACTGTGAACAAGAGCATCGACCTTCCACAAGCGGCGGTGCTCGCGCGAGCTCCCAACTCACGGCCAGGACTCACGGACGACACGGTCGAAGGTGACCAAGCATTCATCCCTACGCCCAAGAGGCAACATTCCAGACTATCCAAGTCGTACAGACATGTACGATCGCGAAGCAGCCAGAGCAGTATGCGGGGAGCGGGATTCCGGCCTAGGAGTGGCAGCGAGGGCCAATGGCCTGGCTCGTCTCCCCGGGCGAGCAACGAGTACGCGTACTATTACCCGCGGACTTCACACTCGTATGACCGGAAGCACGCACGCATCTACAGCGACTCATCGAACCCACCCAGGGCATCGTTTGACGACGAGTTCTTCATGGGTGCCCTGTCTCCCCGACCACTGCTGCCCAAGGGCAACCCCACGCCCGAGTCTCAGATTGGGCGGGCAATCGGTTGAGCGCATTTTTTCCTCGCCCTTTCTCTTCTCCAGATAGACGGGGAACTTATGTGTGGTGGCTACCCATAACATGTGAGACGGCTGACTTCCTCTCCCTATCTTCTACTTGCCAGGATTTCCGTGGGTCAGAATTCCATCTTCCTCTCGGGAAGGGTGATGATCCGCACGGGTGCAAGAAGAATGACCGGGGGTGCCAATCGCTGGAATGGAGGGATCCATGTTCCGCCACTCATTCTTCTTTTCTTTCGACCTTTCTCTCTCTTATCCTGGAACGCGAGCGAGCACGCAAGAGGGAGGGCCTGCTCAGACACCAAGACGCTAGTTTTTGGTTGGGTCTCAGGCGAAGATACTTTCCCGGGGTATATTTGCCATACTATACGTCACGGCAAGTGTTCTTACCGCATTCTTGGGGAAGTCATGGATGCAAGGCAGTTCCAAAAATCCTGTCCCCGGTCGTCAGCTCCGCCATGCTTCGGCGACGCACTCTTACACCCTGCACCCCTGCACCTCGGCTCCTCTTGCACCGCTGAACGTGGTGCGGGGTTCGGCGTATCTCAAGTTTCAGGTTCCCCACGGCTTTGTGGGAACGATTCCGCCACCACGGAAACTTCTTTCCTTTTCTTTATTTTTTATTCCCCCGTCTTTCCGCTTGCGTCTATTATTAATAGATGACAGCGATGGGAACTATCTACCCTTGCCTGCATCGGAAATCATGGCTGCGCTGTGATGTGATCCGGTTCTCTTTTGTTTGAGCCCCCAAGCTGTCGGTGAATGACAAGGGCTGCATGGGGTTGGCCGCACACCCGCGGCGTCCCCCCAAATCCTTCCTTTTATCTCTCTCTATAGTTTTTACGTTCTGATGTATCTATTTTCCCTGTATCTCCCCTGCCTTCTTCTTGGCCGGGAGGGCCATATTGGGCTTTCCATGCCTCTTCGCTGCGTCTCTGCTCGAGGTTGGGTATGCTTGCTAGTATAAGCTGCATTTCCCTTAAATTTTTTTGTCCTTCTCCTTTGTTTCGGGCGGGACCACCCTAGCTTTTGCGAGTGGTTCTTCTTCTTCTTCTTTTTCTTCTTGCTACCCTCGACGGTTGAGGGAGCAAATGGTTTTTTTCTTCCTTTTGTGATGATTGGATATTGGATCAGGCTCATGTGTGGCGCATATGAGCCTTGGAGGATATACCCCCGGCGATCGGAAGAACCCACATAGGCGAAGGTGGAAAGCTGGGATTATGATGCCGGCTTTTTTTTGGATTTGGAGTTGAACGTTGTCAGTGTGCTACCGTGCCCGGTCTCTCTGTCTCTCCCTCTTTCTATCTTGAACTCCCCACTCTCTTTTTTGCCTCCCCCCTTGACTCGTACGAACTCGTATGGTGTCGGCCGGGCACAGTAGTGGCATCTTGTTTAACACACAGCACACATTCTTTCTTTTTAGTTCTCCCTTACTTCCTTCATGGGATGGAGCATACGAACTGGCGTACTGTTACACGGGTACGGGGCAGTTATTGGGTTTGCGGGCTCGGGGACTTTTCGTGGGGTGAAGAGTCGATATCATCATTCCCATGGGAAGGGAACGTACATACAGCAATAGATTTGATAGCTGGTGTTTTTAAACAAAGATCCCGATGTTGCTCTTCAATGATGGCCTTTTACTCGATCGATAAAACTGGAAGTTGTGAAATGAGGGTCCTCTCTTTGGATATTCCACGGGCGTCACTCATCCGGTCGATTGTGGCTATGGCCCTGCCCAGGGGCGTCGAACAAGGGGCCCACGGTTTACAGGATAGGTAGGGTTCCCGGTCGGGATCTTTGCTAAGCGAACCAAAATAGAACGAGAACACAAAGCCGGTGCTCCTCCGGAAAGAAAAGAATCCGGAACGTTATGAGGCCGTTGGAATGCTGCAATGGATGGGGCTTAGTTAGAGCCCTCCCTGGATGTTTGCGGGGCGGCTTGGATGGTTCACCGAGCTAAGGAGGCGAGGCCTGATATTGACAAGGGACAGGTTTGCGGTTGGAATGTAGATTATCGCCAGGCTGGGGTTGGGAAATGGGAATGGGAACGGGGAGAGTGGCGTAGTACTAAGGAGGAGGGTTGTATATATCCGTCGTGGGTATCTGGAGCTGGAGAGAGCAAGAAGATGGGAAGAGACCACTCGCCTCGATATTAAATACGTTCAGGCACCGTTTATTACCCTTGACACTGCAAGCTCCTGTAGCACGCTCGACGTTGGCCCACTCAACTTTGGACAATACAATCGTACCTTCTAAGACTACATATACGGAGTATATTATTTCAAGTTACCCGGAACCTGAAAGAAACCTCAGATTGGAATGTTGTCAGAATTGAGTTAGCATCATCAATTTGTCGATAGTGAAGGGCAGTACGAAGTAATATTTGCAGTACGAAGTATTTGCAGTTGACATCAGGGTTGGTTGTACAGGTACTTTGGAAGTTTTACAAGCTGCAGCGTAGACAATGTACCATTTTTGCAAGTCTACCTCTACTACCAATTAACGCGAAAATGTCCCGACGCGACGGACTTGCTCTCTGCTCAGTACGAATCTCAATCTCGCCCGCGCCTCAACTAACTTCAACCGCAATTTCAGCCCACCCGAGCAACCTGTGCATCAGTCCCCATCAAACCGACCAGTGGCAGTCGAGAACAAATACAAGGACTAGGACGAGGCTGGAGCGAAGAATTGTGTTCAAATCAACAACATTAACCCCATAATTCATAATTCGTTCTGCTCGACTAGTGAGGGGCCACCTCGACCGAGCCTGCACGCTGCTGCTGCCACCGCCTTTGGGATATTTCTGGTCGCCTTCTGTCGGGGCTTGGACTCGGTTAGAATTGGGATTGGGACTGACCTTGAGTGGGCTCAGTTCGTTACCGTCTACCTCAGCACCACATCTGCTGTATCTCCATTGTTGTGTCCATCAAGATCTTGGGAAGAGGCGTCTCGATATCACGAGTCTGAGCCTAGATACCTACAAGTCCGCAGAAGCCGTTCACACCCTATTGGCATCTACGGCTTGATACTCATCTCTTCACACACCCTCTCATCCATCCTTAGCCGTCTCCCGACTTCGTACCCTCACACCCTCATTCCTTGCCAACTCTAGCTCAGCCCTTTACTCCCACCCCTCCCCTCTCCTCACCCCCCGATCCTAAACCCACTCAATTCCATTCCAAAGAGCAGGACGAAACACAGAACAACCATGCCACCCAGGAAAAGCGACGCCTCGCGCAAAAGCGACGTCGCCGTCCGTCCCGCCCCCAAACCCGCCGAGCAGCCCCAGTCCAAGACCACCCCCGCCGCCGAGACCCCGACTCAGCCCCGGCCTGAACCCTCTACTCCGGCGACGGGCGAGAAGAAGGATAAGGAGAGCAAAGAGACGAAGGAAGGAGTTAGCATTGATGTGAGATTTTTTTTTTTTTTTTTTTTTTTTTTCCTTCTGGGCCTCCCCGTGATTAGAAACGCCCAAGAGTTGGAGATACTAAAACCGATTTTAGGATCTAAATCTGCCCAAGTCCATCATCACGAGGCTGGCCAAGGGAGCGTTACCGCAGAATATCCAGCTCCAGAGCAACGCCGTGATTGCTTTACGGCAGAGTGCCACGGTGTTTATCAGCTACCTTGCCTCTCAGTAAGTTTTGTTTCTCCCTGCAGATGGTATAAAGATGAGAGAGAGAGAGAGAGAGAGAGAACTAAGAAGCGTTGACCAGTGCAAACGAACATGCCCAAAATGCGGGGAAGAAAACTGTTCTACCAGCCGATGTGTTCCAAGCCCTCGAGGACACCGAATTCGGCTTCCTCAAAGGCCCTCTAGAGGCCGAATTTGCTAGTATGTAGAGAGAGAGAGAGGAAAAATAAAGGATTGAGAACAAAACTCATCCCTTGGATTTGTTTTGCCACCAATCTATCCAAAGCACACCCATCGCCTAAGCCTTGCTAACTCACAAAACCCCAGAATTCAACCAAATCCAAACGGCAAAACGCTCCAACTACCGCCAAAAAGTCGCCGCTGCCAAACGCGCAGCCGCAGACTCTTCCACCCTCAGCGCCGCCGATACCACCGTTAACACGGACGCGGACACCTCAACTATTACCGAGCCCGAGCGCGGGGGCGGGTCGAAGGCGAAGAAGGCGAAGGTTGAGAGGGGGGCAAGTGTGGAGGAGGAAGAGGCTGATGATGCGGAGACGGAGCCGGAGGAGGAGGAGGAGGTAGAGGATGATGAGGAGGAGGAGGAAGAAGAAGAGGATGAGGATGAGGATGAGGACGAGGAAGATGAGGAGGGAGAGGATGAAGAGGAGGTGGGTGTGTTGGAAGAGAGGGATGATGATGATGATGATGATGACGATGAGGATGATGAGGGTGATGAGAGTGATTAATGGACAGTATGAATCCTTGTAAGGACCCAGAATAGCTAACAATGGAATATTCACCTCATCTTATGCTTTGAAAATGATCACTTAAGTTAGAAGTGAATAGCCTAACTCACTTCAAAGTCTAGAAGTCAAATGTGCATGGCATTTTGATCAAGGAAGGAAGCAGGTATGTATTCAGACTGACATACGACAAGAAGCACAAAAATAACAATCATATATAGGAACCCTCAATTCAAAGAAGAGGAGAAAAATGAAAAATCCTCCCCAAGTAGAAAGCATAGAAAAGATCCCTACCCATCCCAAAATCCGAAACCCCAACGTAACCTAGCCCAGTCCCCGATAAACTGGGCCCGACAAGCAGAGACCCTGGAGAATCATGAAAACCCGCCAGCACCTTGCAATGCATCCGGTTTCTGTCCGTCCGCCAATGTGCCAAAAGGAAAGGGGGGGAAAAAATACAGCAAGAGAGAAGGAGCTAGAAAAGAAAGTAGAAACGCTGTTGTCGTCGTCCCAAACATAGTTTCATATGTCCGTTAACAGGAAAAGACGAGGAGTGGTGTGTCGAAAATAGAAAGGAGGAAGCTGACTCCTCGATCCTAACATCAACAGGGCCAGAGCAGCGAACTACACTTAGGAAACACGGAAAACATCAGAAGGGGAATTTAGGAGAAAAATAACTAAAAGGATAGGATTTAGGAGATAAGAAAAAGGAAAGAAAGGTAAAATATATCTTCCGAAGAGAAAAAGAGATAAGAAACGAGAAACCCTGACCCAACAGCCCCTTCCATTGCCGAGGTATCCTTGATGATGTGCCATTATCAAATCCAAAGAGAAGAAAAAGGAAAAAAAAAAAAAAGGTCTTGCGAAAAGCAGAGACTCAGGACACACAAGTACAAACTAACAATACCATGATGAACCCATTATACACAAGCAGACAAGAGGGGGGATGAAACCAGAAAAAAGGGAGGGCAACAAAAGAACCTCCGGAACATCTGAAAACCACACAAGCAAAAACAATCTACCTGCCGCCGTTAGGGATTCCGTTCCACATCACATATACCTCCGGCAGTTACCCATGTCATCAAGTATAAGACAACGCTTCCCCTTCAGATGTCCTCATTGATTGTTCGGCCGTGATCGCAAAAAGCAAAGAAAGAAAAGGAAAAAAGAAGTAAAACAAAAGGGGGGAAAAGGAGAAGGGACGAAAAAGAAAAGAAAGAAAAAAGTGGTAATGGTCATGGTTTGGACACGAGTAAAAACCGAAGCTCGACCAACACCTGAGAGACGCTTTGTAGCAACGGAATGGACCACTGCTAGAGGGAAGCAGTGAAGCAGTTATGAAGTGCTATCGCCCGTGCGGTTCGAGGGTGCAAGGATAGGGCGAGTGGAGAAAGTTATTCGAGGCGTGGAAGTATATCGAGTCGCAGAAGATGTCGGGCAGGCGGAAATCGCCGAGAACTCTGCGGGAACGTAGTTACCGCGTCGAGTCTGGAGTATCGAAGTTCCGTCCACAATAACTGCTTGTTGGCCCATGCGAGGCGAATGTCTTCCCGAGCGTCGATTGACGACCAGTCAGGGGAGGATTTTGCAACAGAAATTGTTCTTTTCAGAATATTTCCCATCATCCTTTGACCAGCGCTCAACTCGAAATATATGATGCGAGCACAAATAACTCCATCTCAGTCTCCCGTCTCATCCGAAGCACGCGGCTCGAACGTCGTAAGGTACCAAGTCAACCAGGTGGTAAAAGAAAGACATTAACCTCTCCATCCTCTCGTAATACTGGGAGAGGTTAAGACGGATCTGGTAAGACAATGGGGGCGGAAAGGAAAAGGACAGAAAATAGCAAACTTGTCGGGAGTTACTTCTCGGGGCAAAGCAACGAAAGGGAAAAAAAAAAAAAAAAAAAAAAAAAAAAAAGAGAAAATAACCCAAGGAGAGAGGAAGCAGGTATGAGAAACAGAGAGAAAACGTATAAAACTATAAACATGTCCAACACTAGGGATATAGACGTTAACCCGATTCACCGTATTCCCGTACCAACCTGCGAATAAAGAGAAATAGAAACCCGAAAAAAGGAGCGAGAAGTGAAGAAGAACAAGAAGAGCAACCTTAAGGGGAAAAAAATCCAGTTCCGAGCCCTCGAATCTCCAGCCAATAAACCCGGAATAAAAGTCCCTTGGTAGTTCCCCGATCAATCATTGTTGCTGCGCGTTGGCCCACCACTGCTGGGTGGCGGGAGTTTGCTGGTTGGACCAAGTCTGAGAAACAGCTGGAGAGGCCTGAGTATTTTGAGGCATGTATTGCCTAGGGGTGGACTCGGCAGGATACATGCCCTGGCCGGCAGCGCCATAGCCCTGGCTCATCCCTGGCATGTTCGAAAATGGCATCCCAGGCTGGATCTGCCCGCTACTAGAATGTCGAAGTTGGGAGGCAGCAGGTTGCTGTTGGGAGTGCGACTGCTGCGTCTGTGTAGTATAACCGGAGTATCCATGTTGCGGCGTCTGTGGGGTTGGTGGCCACATCTGGCTCGATTGCGGATAGTTGTATCCTTGGGCCTGTGCTAGGGTCCCCGTAGTTCCTGGCGACAGAGACGATGTTGGCCTGGTGCTCTTCTGAGCGGACGTCTGAGTCATACCTCGTATCGGTGCTTGGCTCATGGTACTCTGGGAATGTATCGACTGCGAGTAGGCGGGCGCGGCCATCATCATCTGCGGGCTCTGGCTCGCTATGATCCCCGACTGCGGTAGTCCAGCGGCAGTCGTGTGTGGCGACTGCGATGGTTGGCTTGTGGCAGTAGTGTCGGCAGCAGGAGCCGGAGGAGTGAGGTTAGTAGTAGCGGGCTGCTCATGGGGTCGCCTCCATACATTGTTGAGATAGTCGTTTCGCATGTCGCGCTGCTGGTTGATTGTCCGGTTAAATTCGGCCGCGTGGTGTGCCTGGGCATTGAGTTCCGGGACTGCGGAGGGCCGGGTCTGGTCCTGGTAGGCTGGTCCCGTAATTTCCTGTCGAGGTCCGCCCTTGAGGATGCCACTATAATCGCGGGTCCTGGTGGTATCATTGAGGTCTGGTCCTAGTGTTATCACAGGCATTCTTGGCGCAGTTCCTAGTGGTCCTCCAAGCATACCTGGTTGAACAAGTTGGGGTTGTGCTCCTGGGAATGGCGCCGGGGTATTGCTGTAGACGATCTCGCCATGCGGTCCACCCATCATGACGCTGTTCTGCGCCTCGGCAGCGGCCGCGGCCTCCCTTGCTCGCGCACCTCCCGGCCGCTTCTCGCCAGCCAGGTCATTTTCGGTAAAGCCTTGCTTGCGCGCCTTAGTCTCCCAGTAGTCATCCCTGACCCTCCTACCGTTGACGATCACCCGGCTGCCGAACTGGCGGAACATCGATCGGGCAGTAACAATGGCAATCTGCCTCGACCTGTAAGAGAACGGGAGAATCTCCTGAGCGACCAGATCGTCCTTTTCGACTTGGCTTGCAATGATTTTGTATAAAGACCTGTTCTTGTTAAATAGCAAATACGAGTCGCGGTACCCGAGAACCCTCGCGCACTCGGTAGCGAGCATAAACAGCTTGTCGCCACGGTGGGGAACCAGGAAAGTCCGGCAACGATATTCGCGACCACCAAGCAGTTGTCCGTTGGGCATCACCTTCTTCTCTCCAAATTCATCAGTCTCCCTCGGGATATACTCGTCACCGGCAGCATTCAGTTGGTCCGTCGTGTGGTCCCTAACCGTTGGCAGGGCCTTCAAAGTAGTCTTTGTCGGCGTTGTCTTAGCTGGCGCCGGTGCCGGTGCCGGTGCGGGCGCGGAAGTATAGGCATTCGCGACCTGCCCCGCGTGCGAGGCGGTTTGTGTTTGTGGTGTTTGGGACGGCATTGTGGAGTGGGATACGGTGCTCGGCGTAGTCGTGGCCTGACCTGGGGCCCCGGCGATTCCACTCGTTTGTCTCGATTTCATAGATCTCCCGCGCTTTCTCGGGTTGGATTCGCCTGCAGAATGGGAGAGAATATGATTAGCTTAAGTGTCCCTAGCGTCCCTTTCCATTTGTCACGCAAGAGCAGTGTCTCTAGTGCACGGCAATAGAGCAGTGTTACGCGAGAGACCATGTATCTAGTATGAAAGGAATGGTGGGCCTGTGGGTATATGCAACAACGGCGGAGGTATTACTCACTGGTAGCATTCACAGTCGCACCAGACACGAGGGGATCTTGTTGGTCGTCGTCGGAGCGGCTTCGCTTGACTCCTCGTGGGACCGATTCGATCAAGTCTTTTTGCGCACCAAAAAAAGGTCTGCTGTCAGCAAACGCCTTGCGTTCTAATGTTCCAGAAAGACGCTTATTTTTCCTTTTTCAGAGTATAAAAAAAATCTCAGTTTCCAAATTCGCTAACAAATGACCACAAAGCAATGAATGGAAGAAAAAAGGCGTAAAAATGGTTGGAAACGGCTCCATTTTTTGGTGGCGAGAGCAAGAGGTGGCGTTGTTGCAGTCGCTGCGACTAGCGCACTCGGGAAGAAAGCATGGACGCGGCCCTGGGGGCCCTGGGAAGAGGGAAAAGAGAAGCTGGCGGCTACTAGAGCTCGGTCGAGGCTTTTTCGAAAATGGTCACGATATTGAGCTGCCAGTCGTCGCGCGGATGCGATTGTTTGGCGGTGCTCGTTGCAGCGTCGTCGGATGGCAGGCCCAGAGCTCTCTCCACGACAAAGGACCGCGGGAAATGAGATGCACGGAGGAAGAGAAGCAAATTGTAGGAGCAAGAGCAATAAACAATCACAATCACATACCTGGTGAGTTGAGAGCTGCTGGGTTGATTGTCGCACTATCAGCGCTGCTTGGCTGGGCGGAGTACATGAGTGCAGCAACACCAACACGTCAAAAAGTCAAGTTCGACAAAGACGTGTCGTGAAATAGTTGGGCTGCCCTCTTTTCTGATGGAACGCGCTGGGAGAAGCAGGTTCTGAATCTCGGAGCGTGTGGAGTTGGAGGGAGAAAGATGCAAGCAGGATTATTCGTGCATATGGTTGGCGCAAGTGCGAAGCGTGGTTCTTTCTTTGGGGGGCGTGTCAATCGTGGGTCCTGGCCGGTTACGTGAGTATATGAGGAGAAGGGAGGAGACGACGAGGGTAGGGGACCATAGGGAAACACAGGGTAGGTTAGATTGAAATGAGGTCTCCAGTAGGGTCGCAGGGCGGCGGCGGGAACATGACTGGGGGCGTGCATCATTGATGTAGTGTGCGGTGCGGATGGAGTACGGAGCGGAGGAGCGTGGTGAAGCGTGCGCGTAAAGTACCTGAAGAGGGGAGGGTACAATGGTACAACTTACCTACTTAGTGGATATTGATGTGACTTAAGTATATCGGGACCCGCTAGTCATAATACTCGTGCTCAGACTAAGAATATCGCTAAAGTGCGATGTACTTAATCAGTACGGCGGTATCCACCTGACTAAACTGGAAAATTAGTGTACTGTATGAGGTACTAGCGCACAGGATTCCGAAGTTGAGGTGGGTGTGTGGTGTGTGCTTTATCGTCCGGATGGGGGGGTGGATGAAGTTCCGGGGGCGGAGAGAACCCAGGAGGCTTGGGACATTGGGAGATTGGGGTGTATGGGATTTCTCGTTTGGAGGTGCGTACAAGTAGGTACCGTGCAATGGGTTATGGTTGCAAAGAGGAGGAGAGTTGTTGTGTTGCGATGGAATCGTAGGGATTCTGTACAGCCGATCGAGGACGAATGTCGCAAAGGTGTACTAGGTGCTTGTACGAAGTACACGCCTCAAGTAGTGATACGGTGCTGACTACTGTAGGATGCCGTTCAAAGTAGTCGAGTCGGACCCGAACCCAGGCAGCGACTAGGCATGTGCGAAGTAATAGTTCAGGACGCGAAAGGGAGGGGAGGGAAGGCGGGGAGATGGGCAAGGTAGGGCTCAAGCGTTGTGCGGAATGGGCTGGATTCGAGCGATCTCTGATTACTTGGATCGGTTAACCCCGTTGATGAGAGGATGCGGTTGTGCAAGACAGCTCGGAGACATGTGCTGTTTGGCAGGTTCAAATGTTGTAGATGGATTCGGCGACGAAGCCTTTCCTATCATCCCATCATCTGTATTTCGAGAGAAAGCCGGTTGAACTCGAGACGATCCGAGGCTGGAAGTGGGAGTAAAGCAGTATGCGTACCCTCGTATCGAAGCGAAGAGAAAGAGAATGCAAAGGAAGAGTAAGACAGAAGGAAGAAGAAAAGAAAATGAATGAATGATGAGAAAGGCTGGTGATTATACCCAAGCGGGACAGGGCGGAAATACCAAGTTACGAAGGATTGCTACTGGAGACGGGGTGGAGGAAAGTCGGGGTAACAGTCGTTCCAGACATTCGGGGGGTGGTATCTATCATGTGTAGCCGACGACAATGGACTTGACAAAAGCTGAAAGACGGGACAGCGCCCATGTCTCCTCGGGACCTTGCACGCTGTGTCGAGGGCGTTCAAAAAGAAAAAAAAACTTATACCGAGGACAGAAATGCTCCTTGTCCCAGAGGTTTTGCTGTGATTGCCATTCGCCGGGTATATCCTGGGGACTTTTAACAAGAACAGGTTTCTTCGCACGAAGGGTCTGAGGCGAGGCAATGATACGAATACCGAATACTTAAAATCGATTCTCGAGCATCGTGTTCATATGAACAGGCTTGTCAGCAGTCGGAGAAGAAGCCAAGGTTTCGCGAAGGCCATATAATATCGCCAGTGATCCAGTTCCAAATAGTATCATATGTCGATTGTCATTCGAATCGGCCAGAGAACGAAATGAAGCATCTGAAACTTTGGATCTCTTTGAGGTACACAAGCTTATGAATCCATTCGTCGTCCATCCCGATCGCCCTTACTCCGGGGATGCAGGGTTGACTGGAAGGAGGGCATGGTACGAAGTACTTCGTACGACAGGGTCGCAGGGGTGTGTAGTAAATTCCGGTGGTGTGTACAACCGCGATACGAGTTGATGAGTACAAGCGGGGGGGCATATGCAACACGACCAGGGAGGAAGGGAAGTGGAGCACGGACATCCCTTTGTACATGTATTTCTGACAGGATCCCTGGACTGCGCTTTCTGCTTTCTGCCGACCACCAGAACTTGCATCGTCATAAAGTACTCTATTGAGTGGATGTACAAGGTTATCCCACCCAAGATATGCATCGAAACATGGAAATACGGGCGTTCAAGACCACGGTGTGACCGGTGAATTGAAGTCCCTTGAGCGGCAGGAGGTACTTCATGGAGAAAGCCAATTAGCTCTTGCCGAGCCAAGGTCTCGTGTCGTCATAGGTCATCTGTACGAAGTACGAAGTACTCCACTCCGCACCCTTCATGCCTTCTCTTTTCTCTCACTCAAGCAATCGTGCCCATGCTTGTAGTTTATTTCGTTGACATGGTGGTACGGAAACGAGCTTGATTTCCCCAGGCTCCACGTACCGAAATCCATCAACTTACTTCGTACTTGTTAAATGTGGGCACCCCCTGCGGACGGTGCTCAAATATTCCCCATCTGTGTGTTTTCCTCGGTGGGACGGCAAAGGTAGCTGATTTGATGACAGCCGACGACGATAGAGTCAGAGAGTACAACTGCGACCATCAAGGAAGGCAGCACACGCGTCTTCCCTGTTGTGTATCGCCATGCTGACAATTCCAGGCCAGGCGATCGAGGTATCAGATCCCTAAGGAGGAAAGACAACCCCAGACGCCCTGGAGGCACATCTAGAAAGGCATGCTCAGGGATAAAGAGAAACAAAAATGTCTCTTGTCTCCTGGTTATGCGTAAGAACAAGGAGAAAAGTCTCATCGGTTTGTCGAGTTCACGTTCACATGAGCCCCAAGCACGGTTCGTTTCTCTGAACCCCGAGCCTCAAATGGGCCAACTAGTACATCTTAGTTTCTCGAGCATAAATCCCCCTAGCGGTTTCCAAGATCAAGGGTGCGAGCGGGGTAATGCTACGATGGAGGACAAAGTGCGAAGTAGATGAGCACGGATACTAAACTTGTCGTCTATCAAGAAAAGCCAATGCGAGTGAGGACCCTGCTTTTTCTTTTATTATTTTTGAGTTAGCTTCTGGTTCTATTCCGAAGCCAAAGAAGACGGTTTGGGAAATGTCTCGCTCTTCGATCAAGAATGCGATCAGATTGTGTGGCGAGTGAGCGTAGGCCAAGGCACGGACTTTTCTGTTCCCGTCCCAAGCTCCTACCCAGACCAAAGCGATAGGATTTATGGAAGGAGGGGGCGTAGATGGGGTTCTAAGTAGTGGTGTGGACGCAGTAAGTAGGACAGCATGGGGTCACAGGATGAGATGGCACTTGCTCCGTATTGACAATACGGCAAGCGGACTTGTAGATGTTCTGTACTCACAGAAGCAATACCGGCCGGATGACGCCGTACGAAGTACGATCTTTGACGGTTTGAGCATTCGTGAAATTACAGTGTAGCATTAATACTTCCTGTTTTCAACCTCTCTGCATACTGCGTACATTACTGAGATGAACTAGTTAACATCGATTCCTCTTGGCTTGTATCCCAGGGAGTGGAACCGCCAATTCTGACCACAGTTGCAGTTTTGAGTCATCCTGATAACGTATTCGATTCATCATCGACGATTTGATTGATATCTTATCCGTCATTCCTATGGCACTGTATTGGACGTACTTCACAGCTACTAAATCCATCAATCCCAAGTACATGCAGAGCGAGCTTCATCCGGCCAAGCCGGTGAGGTGATCTTCGACCATCTTCCCAGCGGCCGAATCACGTCAGTAGCAATAACCGTCTCTCTGAGACCGAGCCCTCGATTCCCAGTAGCCTAGAACGTTCTTTTCCAGAGATTCATTAGGCACGCCCCTCATACAA